GGTTGCCAGTTTATAACCCCCCCCCCCTTTATACAACTTTTAATGTCTGTCACATTTTAAAACAAAGCAGTATTTTCTAACCAGGATTCATTTGGCTTCTCCTGCCTTCAAAAGAAGAGTATTGCAGGAGAGGGCACCAGCAGGGGAGGAATGCAGATCAAAATGTGTTGTTTCTATAGAAATGCAGAGAGATCAGAGTTTGATATAAGGAGTGAAGGAGAGAGATCACTGCGAGTGGGTCAAGAAAAATAGTAATGATCTGAGCAGTGTTAAAAAAACTCCAGAATCAAGACAGTAAATAAAGAACACCAGACAGCCAACAATCAAGTTGCAGTTAACACCTCCCAAACAAAGGATGCTAGGCTTTGCAACTGCAAGGCTACTCAATGCTAATCAAGCTGGCTAATTGCAACATTCACACTTACTTCAAACAGACATCTCTATCCTACCCTGGACATTTCACAAATATATATGCACCCCACTTGCCTCATTTCCTACAGATCTCTAAAAAAACCTGAGGATGCCTGCCACAGGTGCAGGCAAAATGTCAGGAGAAAATGCTACTTGGACAGGGCCATACAGCCCAAAAAAACTCACAGCAACCCAATGATCTGAGCAGTCAGGCAAACCTGTAGCGGCTAACTAGATTGAGGGAAATGGGAGCTGTAGTATATAGTAGCTGCAGGAAGCTAGGAGTCAATGAAAGGCTAGGCTACTTGGGGAAATACTGTGAGTGTGTGCGCATCAATTTCTTTCGAGGTCATCTGTCAAGAGTGCTTTGTGTGTTCCTGCATGGCAGACAATGGCAGACTGGATAACCCTGGTGGTCTCTTCCAACCCTTGGGAACATCTATAGTGTACAATTAAGGCAATTTGACACCACTTTACCTGCCGCGGCTCATGAAATCCTGGGAGTTGTAGTTTGTTTGGTGAAGCAGGGAAGGTTTGTTTGTTTGCTGAGTTGGATTTCAGGCCTGGTTATGGGACAGAGGCAACTTTGGTCACCTTGGTGGATGACCTACGCAGAGAACCGGACAAGGGGAGTGTGTCCCTGTTGGTTCTCCTCGACCTTTCAGGGCTTTCGATACCATCGACCATGGTATACTTTTGAGTCACCTTTCTGGGATGGGGCTTGGAGGTACTGTTCTTCAGTGACTGTTTCTTCATGGAGGGGGGACTTCTTCTCAACTCCTTGGCCACTAGCCTTTGGGATCCCTTAGGGCTCTGTGCTCTCCCCATGCTGTTCAACATATACATGAAACCACTGGGAGAGGTCATCTGGAGTTTTGGAGTAAGGTGCCATCTATATGCAGATGACACCCAACTCTATCACTCCTTTCCACCTAATTCCAAGGAAACCGCTCCTGTGCTAAACTGACAACTGGCAGCAGTAATGGACTGGATAAGGGCAAACAAATTGAAGCTTAATCCAGACAAAACAAGAGTTGCTCCTGGTCAGTCCTGAGATCTAGGAATCAGGAGTCAGCCTGTTGTCAGATGGGGTTACACTCTCCATGAAAACGCAGGTTCGCAGTTTGGGAGAACTCCTGGATTTGCCTCTGAACCTGGGGGTCCAGGTATCAGCAGTGACCAGGAGTGCTTTTGCACAGTTAAAGCTAGTGCGCCAACTGTGCCAGTTTCTGGAGAAGTCAGATCTGGCCATGGTAGTACATGTTTTTGTTACATGCCAGTTGGACTACTGTAAAGTGCTCGCAAACTTCAGTAGGTCCAAAGAGCAGCAGCCAGACTGCTAACTGGGGCTGGCTACAGGAAGCATACAACTCCTCTGTTGCAACAGCTCAGCTGGCTGCCAACGCATTTCAAAGCACAATACAAAGTGCTGGTTTTGATCTACAAAGCCCTATATGGCTCCAGTCCAGGATATCCCTTCCAATGAACCTGAGATATATCTACAATCTACTAGAAAGGGCCTTCTTTCAATCCCACTACCTGCTCAAGAACTCTTGGTGAGAACACGGAAAAGTGCCTTTTCGGTGGCTGCTCCGAGTGTGAAACTTCCTCCCAAGAGAAATCAGGGTGGCCCCATCCCTGCTGGTCTTTCACAAGTAAGTCAAGACCTTCTTCTGACAACAGGCATTTGGGGAAGTGGAAGGCTTTGGGGAAGTCAGGTGAGATTGAGAGGAATATGAGTTTTAAAGGCCATTTTATTTATTTACTATATTTATATACCCCCCTTCTCACCCCGAAGGGGTGATTTGAATGCAATATTCCTGCTTCTTGGCAGGGGGTTGGACTGGATGGCCAATGAGGTCTCTTTGATTCTATGATTCAGAGAGGCTTACAAGATATAATTTTCATGTATTTATGTAGTGTATTTTAATTCTGTTTTTACTACACTTTTATTGAATTGTTTTTGTAACTTTTGTATTGCACGTTTTAAACTTGTTTAGTGTAGAGTGCTAGCCGCCTTGAGTCCCCACAGAGAGAAAGGCAGGGTATGAAAAAATAAATAAATAAATAAATAATGAGATTGTAAAATTACAGCTTCCATGATTCCAAGCACTAAGGCAGTGTGATTCAAGTGGCATCACCTACATTCATCCTACAGTGTAGATACACCCAATGATTCAGGACTGAATGAATCACAAATCAGCAACCTGTTTTCAAAACCCCCGCAACACGTCTCTGTTATCCCAACAAGGGCATGAGGTCTATACCATGACTTCCATCTTAACATTTTGTTTTGGGAGACACTCAACCCTTGAAGATGGATTGCTGTGGCGAATGTGTGAATAAGTGAAGAGCAATGAGGAAGGGAAGTCCTTTTAACCAGACAGGCAGGAGACCTGAGGGCCCTTCTACACTGGTGTATAATCCATACATTGACACTGAAATACAACACCACCTGAGCTCTGCGAGTGCAGCATTTTTTCTGAATGAAGCAGAGAGTGTTTGAGGACCGGGACATCCGTAGGGATACCAAGGTGCTTGCTTATAAAGATATTGTCCTCCCAATCCTGTATACACCTGTGAAACGTGGACTATCTACAGATGTCACATGCAACTCCTAGAACGATTCCATCAGCGCTGCCTCCGGAAAATCCTGCAAATCTCTTGGGAAGACAGGCGGACAAATGTCAGCATGCTGGAAGAAGCAAAGACCACCAGCATTGAAGCGATGGTCCTCCGCCATCAACTCTGCTGGACCGGCCACGTTGTCCGGATGCCCTGACCACCATCTCCCAAAGCAGTTGCTCTACTCCGAACTCAAGAACGGAAAACAGAATGTTGGTGGACAGGAAAAGAGATTTAAAGATGGGCTCAAAGCCAACCTTAAAAACTCTGGCATAGACACTGAGAACTGGGAAGCCCTGGCCCTTGAGCACTCCAGCTGGAGGTCAGCTGTGACCAGCAGTGCTGTAGAATTTGAAGAGGCACGAATGGAGAATGAAAGAGGGAAACGTGGCAAGAGGAAGGCGTGTCAAGCCAACCTTGACAGGGACTCCCTTCCACCTGGAAACCAATACCCACACTGTGGGAGAACATGCAGATCAAGAAGAGGGCTCCACAGTCACCTTCAGACCAACCGCCAGTACATTGATCCTGGAAGACTATCCTACTCGTCCAATGAGGGATCGCCTAAGTAAGTAAGTAAATAATTGCAGATATGCATTTGTATAGAAATAATAGACAAACTAATAATAAAGTGGGAGGCAAAATAGAGTCAGTAATTATACTGTGAGAATGATTGTCTGGATTGGAAAAATAACATTCTACAATGATCCAGAATGTCTTTGTAGGAAATATAAGTGTTTGGGCTAAAGAAGAAGCTGAAGACCAGAAGAATGAGTACCAAGCCAACCCCGACCGGGACCACCTTCCACCTGGAAACCATTGCCCTCACTGCGGGAGAACATGCAGATCAAGAATAGGGCTCCACAGTCACCTACGTACTCACCGCCAGTACACCGATCTTGGAAGGACAATGAGGAATCGCTTAAGTAAGTAATAATCCAGAATATCAAGTAAGATGCTCCACATTATTTGCTTTGAACTGGATTATCTGAGTCTACACTGTCATATAATCCAGATCAAAGCAGATAATCTGGATTTTATACAGCTGTGTAGAAAGGGTCTGAGATAAATGGGGGAAGCTGAGGCCCCTTCCAGACAGCTGTATAAAATCCACATTGATCTGTATTCTATGGCAGTGTGGACTCCTCAGATAACTCAATTCAAAGTGGATATTGTGGATTATCTGCCTTGATAGGAGCCCCCGGTGACACAGTGAGTTAAACCCCTGTGCCGGCAGGACTGAAGACCAACAGGTTGCAGGTTCGAATCTGGGGAGAAGCAGATGAGCTCCATCTATCAGCTCCAGCTCCTCATGCGGAGACATAAGAGAAGTCTCCCACAAGGATGATAAATACATCAAATTCTATGGCTGTGTGGAAGGGCTATGAAGTTTAAGAAAAGCCACTGAATATGACCAGGACAGTTCTAGGAAGGGGGAGAACCGAAGAATGGGGTCGTTACTTAGTCTCCAATATTTATAGGCCTCAAATCCGGGCCTAGAGGAAAGAAAATACACATTATTAATATTATTAAGAGCCCCAAATAGGCCAGGCATGAAGAGAGGGCCCAAGAGGAAGAAAAAACCCCATCTTAGAGTGAGGGGGGAGCAATAAGGGGGCAATTTCTCTCTCCCGGGAAGTGTTGCCCCTTCCCACGCAACGCAATGGCTTCTGGGAGTTATAGTCTCCCAAACTCATTGGGGACCAACACTTTATCCTCCTCAGACAGGGTACGAAGCCGGCTTTGACGGGCGGGACTCCCACTCTTCCCCTTCACCCAGAAAGCAGGGGGGGACCTTCCAAAAGTGGCCTCCTTTCCCCGGATACCTTCTCTCCAAGCTGGGCCCCCGGACTCCAACTCCCAGGGAGCCCCGCGCGGCGGCAGCTCCCGCGCAGGCGCAGTGCGGGCAAGAGGTCAAGCCGGCGAGTGTAGGCCTCCCCCTCTCCCTCTCCCGCCCCGCTCACCGCGGACTCGCTGCGACGGGTAGAGGCGCTGCGCCTTCTCCAAGAAACGCCGCGCCTTTTCCGACTGGTTGGCTTTGATGGCGGCCACCGCGATGGCGATACAACGCTCCGCCTCGTCCCGGTTGGATTCCATGGCGGCGGCCGCGGCGGTGGGAGGCGCCGGCGCGCGGTGATGGCGTCACGCGGGGAGGGCGCGGCCTCCCTCTGCTGGACTCGCTCGAGCAGTGCAGGCGGCGCGCGCTGCCGTAGTGCCTGTGGGAGAGGCGCGCGCTTGCCATATTGTCTGGAAGAGAGGGGCGCTTCCTTCCTTCCTTCTGAGGCTGGACAAGGATCCTAGTCTGAGGCCTTGCTTACAGAAGGGCATTCGCAGCAGTATACAGAATTAGAAGTATGTACACACACATACACATTTCGAAATGCAGTTACTCTTGTTATATGAACAAATTCGTCACAAACTATCTATCTATCTTTTGTTGTTGTTGTTCATTCGTTCAGTCGTCTCAGACTCTTCGTGACCTCATGGACCAGCCCACGCCAGAGCTCCCTGTCGGCCGTCACCACCCCCAGCTCCTTCAAGGTCAGTCCAGTCACTTCAAGGATGCCATCCATCCATCTTGCCCTTGGTCGGCCCCTCTTCCTTTTTGCCTTCCACTTTCCCCAGCATAATTGTCTTCTCTAGGCTTTGCTGTCTCCTCATGATGTGGCCAAAGTACTTCAACTTTGTCTCTAGTATCCTTCCCTCCAGTGAGCAGCCGGGCTTTATTTCCTGGAGGATGGACTGGTTGGATCTTCTCGCAGTCCAAGGCACTCTCAGAACTTTCCTCCAGCACCACAGCTCGATCTTCCTTCGCTCAGCCTTCCCTAAGGTCCAGCTCTCACATCCGTAGGTTACTACAGGGAATACCATGGCTTTGACTAGGCGGATCTTTGTTGCCAGTCTGATGTCTCTACTCTTTACTATTTTTATCGAGACTGGACATTGCTCTCCTCCCAAGAAGTAAGCGTCTTCTGATTTCCTGGCTACAGTATGCATCTGCAGTAATCTTTGCGCCTAGAAATACAAAGTCTGTCACGGCCTCCACATTTTCTCCCTCTATTTCCCAGTTGTCAATCATTCTTGTTGCCATAATCTTGGTTTTTTTGATGTTTAGCTGCAACCCAGCTTTTGCGCTTTCTTCTTTCACCTTGATTAGAAGGCTCCTCAGCTCCTCCTCGCTTTCGGCCATCAGAGTGGTGTCATCTGCATATCTGAGGTTGTTAATGTTTCTTCCAGCAATTTTTACCCCAGCTTTGCATTCATTAAGCCCCGCACATCGCATGATGTGTTCTGCATACGAGTTAAAAAGGACACACACACATACACATTTTGAAATGCAGTTACTCTCGTTATATGAACAAATTCGTCACAAACTATCTATCTATCTATCTATATATCTATATAAATGCTCTGTGCATAATGAGTTCCTTAAAAACAAAAGAACCAATGAACAAAATCACACCAAATTTGGCAACAAAACATCTCACAACACAAGGAGTGACCATCACTCAAAAAAGTATGATTTTGTCATTTGGGAGTTGTCGTTACTGGGATTTATAGTTCACGTACAATCAAAGAGCATTCTGAACTCCATCAACGATGGAATTTGAACCAAACTTGGCACACCAAACTCCCATGACCAACAGAAAATACTAGAAGTGTTTGGGGGTATGGTCCTTGAGTTTGGGAGTTGTAGTTCACCTACGTCCAGAGAGCACTGTGGACTCAAACAATGATGGATCTGGACCAAACTTGGCACAAATATTCCATATGCCCAAATATGAATACAGATGGAGTTTGGAGGAAATAGACCTTGACATTTGGGATTTGTAGTTACTGGGATTTATTGTTCACCTACAATCAAAGAGTGTTCTGATCCCCACAAATGACAGTATTGGGGCAAACTTCCCACACAGAACCCCCATGTCCAAGAGAAAATCCTTAAGGCAATCCAGTCCAACGCTCTTCACCAGGGCAAGAAAATGTAATTGGAGCCCTCCTGACAAAGAGCCATCCAGTCATAAATATAGATAGATAGATACGATTCTCTCTCACACACACAGATATAGTATCACAGATTTGAAAGAGACCCTTAAAGAAGGACTATGATATGTTGCATATTCCAGAGTAGGCAAGCCAGACACTCTCCACATCAACACTGACAAAGAAACAACAAGAAATACTGTCTACTCACAAGCATAAAGAAATTACATATATTACAAACCAACACTTTCTCATTACTTTATTTCCAGATCACCAGACTGGGCCACAGCAACGTGTGGCAGGGGACAGCTAGTGCTTTATAAAACTATACACAAACTCTACCAAATCACCTTGTCTCTCTCCTGAGGAATCTGTACAAGGACCAAGTAGCAAAAGTAAGAGCTAACCGTAGAACAACAGACTGGTTCAAGATTGGGAAAGGTGTACGGCAGGGTTGTATTTCCTCACCCAACCTACTTAACTTGTATGCAGAACACATCATGCAATGTGCGGGGCTTGACGAATGCAAGGCTGGGGTGAAAATTAACAACCTTAGATATGCAGATGATACCACTTTGATGACCAAAAGCAAGGAGGAGCTGAGGAGCCTTCTATAATGTGGTAGAGAATTTATTTCTGGAGGGAAAATATTATTATTCGATAGTAAAAAAAAAATTAAAAAATCCCCAAACTGCTGTAAACCAAATATAGCATAGAGCAGGGGTCTTCAAACTTTTTAAACAAAGGGCCAGGTCACAGTCCCTCAAACTGTTAGAGGGCCGGATTATAATTTGAAAAAAAAAATGAATGAATTCCTATGCACACTACACATATCTTATTTGTAGTTGTGCTGGTATGGCTGTACCAGGAGCTCCAACTTTATTTGCTTTGTATTAAATGTTTGCTTGCAGTCCAAGGTTACAAGGAGTCTGCAGAAAGGTGGCTTCCTCTGGTTGCAGTCGTAGGGCAAGTCACCTGTCCATCATCGTTAAGTTTTGGTTCCGCCCCTTGTTCAGAGCAATTGGGAAGGGAAGGGAGCCATTTTGTAGTTAGTCTCAGTAAGGAAAGCTAATGTACTCCTGTACAAAAGCTTCAACCCAAAAAACTTTCCAGGGGAAAACAGTCTTAAGAGCATCCAAAGATTTCCAGGGAAGCAGTCCTAAAGCTTTGAGGAATTTCGGAGGGTAAACAGTTTTGGGGCTCCTATCAAGGCAGAACTCCAGCTGGAGAATCTACTGCCCTTACTGGTAGGTCCACTTGGCGTTGAAGACGCAGTTCGACCCAGTAGCAGAGCCCACATCAGGAAGACTTAGATTACAGTCAGCCTGGGGGAAGTTATAAATGGTTTTTCCTACAGAGAAAGTTTAATTAATCAAAGTCAGGTGCCAGTCCATTGAGGACTAGACTGAGAAAGCCTTGAAATGTTGTTTGAACCATTGAAGATTTGTTGTTTGTTCCATAATAAAGACTTTGTTGCATTATCAAAGACTCTAAAGACCATCATTTCTGGAAAATCCCTGAGAACTTCTCTTTGGGGCCCCCTGGCTTCCCGCTGGGCAAAGGTTACACGTCCTATTTTAAAGGAAATTCTTTACAGGCCCAGCACGAGACAGAACAGTAGTGCAAAAAACACTGAAAAAGAATACAATAATTAAAATGAAAAACAATTTTAACAAATATAAACTTACTAGCATTTCAGTGGGAAGTGTGGGCCTGCTTTTGGCTGATGAGATAAGGTTGTTGTTGTTGTGTGCTTTCAAAACATTTCAGACTTAGGTTGAGCCTGAGCAAGGGCCGGGTAAATGACCTTGGAGGACCGCATCTGGCCCTCAGGCCTTAGTTTGAGGACCCCTGGCATAGAGGGAACTTTATATACAGGGTGAGGCAGCATAACTTCTTTTTTCAAAACTTAATAAAACCCATTGTATGAATCAGATTTTTTTTATAATGTAGGTGCATACCTAAAGTTTTGTTTTACATAGTTTTGAAGATCAAATTAGGTAGGTGATGTCCCCCATTCTCCATTCTCCATACACTGAGTAAACCAATTTCTGGCGTTTGTCATGACTCTTGCCAGCATAGCAGGCATTATGTTGGCAATTTCTTCCTGGATGTTGGTCTTCAAATCTTGTAGGGTCCTTGAATGGTTCACATAAACACTGGATTTCAAAAAACCCCATAGAAAAAAATCACAAGGGGCCAAATCTGGAGAGCAGGCCGGCCACTCCAAATCCGCTCAAAAAGTAGGCCTCAATGGCAAAAGCATGCTCCTCACTGTTCCAGCGCATGATGGTGACTGAACTGTGTCAGGAAAAAACTTTATACTCCCGCCTCTCGAACGGGATGAATGCCGCGCATTTTAAAAAAGGAAGTTATGCTGCCTCACCCTGTATTTAAAAGCCCCCAAAATAAAAAAGCTGATATGATATCGAAAAGCTGGCAACTTTCTGCCTGGCTGAATGCAAAAACCCTTTTGAAAGTGCACCGAGACCACTAGCACTCCGCTGTGTCTTCAACCGACTTAACCTTGCTGTTAAGCCCTTGGTTTGTATGAGGTGAAAGAGTGTGGTTGTATCGGCCCTCAGGCTTGTGTTACTGAGGTTCCCTTTTTAAAACTATTTCTCTAAAGGTATGCTGCCACCATTAATCTCTTAACCACTGCTTAAAGTTGCTTTGGAAAACCTTAAGCACAGAGGCACACTTGAGTCAGGTTGTGATGAACAATAATCAGCAAAGTTTATTAAATAGAACAGGAACAAATGCAGTTAATATCTTGGCTGTTTCAGAGATTTGTGTCTTAAAAGTGTGATGGTTACACGAATAGTTCTATCCTTGTTACTTCAGAAACCTTTTCCCCCTCCAAAACAAGAGTACTGACAGGAAAGTATCTCTGCCCGAAACTCCTCAGTAGCCCAGATAAACTTAGCTCAGTTCTATCCTGCTATTCTCCTAATATCTGTCAGTTTGCTTTAGCTACCCTGCTAATGGTATTCCCTGTAGTCACCTACGGATGTGAAAGCTGGACCATAGGGAAGGCTGATCGAAGGAAGATAGACGCTTTTGAACTGTGGTGCTGGAGGAAAATTCGGAGAGTGCCTTGGACAGCGAGAAGAGCCAACCAGTCCATACTTCAGGAAATGAAGCCCGACTGCTCATTGGAGG